AGATATCTCTTCTACCTATGTTAATAAAAATGCTTAGACTAGTTCGAAAGACTCTCGCAAAACGCTAAAATCATTGGAAATCCTGGGAAGAATATGGTCAAACTAAGTCCCAGGGAAAGCCATCAGAAATAAACGAGATAAAACATCTTTTCAGAAGAAAATTTAGGAGAGGATTCCACGTCTATTGCAGGCAGGACGATAACCGGCGAGACCCACACAAGAAGAGTAAGCCATTTCATAATAGCAGCAGAAATGAATCAAGCGATCAAAGGTGCTCGGGTTTTACAGTAGCGCCTCTTTTTCCGTTTCAAGCTTTTGTATTTTTCTGACGAATATATAGCCTGGAAGACATTATTATACTCCTTTATCTGTCTGTTGTCGAGAGTTAATACCTCAGGAGACAGGGATCTTTTTAAGGATCTCTGCATCCGCTCTGTTGAACCCATTTATTCCTTCGTTTAGAGATCAGTTCACTGAAGAGGAGGGGCACTGAAATAATATAATAATGGTATGAAAACAGCCAGGGACTAGAGAGCATGAATTTGGAAGAGACTGGTTGTCACTCAGTTCCCAGTGAAATACACCGGAAGATACCGATTAACCTAAAGGTAGCGAGAAAAATGTAGTGCTGGAGTGGATACGGCATATTCAGCATAAAGTGTATCTGAAAATGGAGAACCTATTAAAATCAAGTCCTTTTTAAAAAATCATTTCTCCCCAACGCATCGAAATAAAGCCACTGAAACGTAAAGGGTTACTGAGTGCGAGAGAATATGAGATAAAAAAAAAAAACACTTTTAAGGAGAGAGAAAGAGTAACAACAGAAGAGGAATTAAGAAGACAAAAGATAACGATTCACATTGTATTTAAATTTTTGACGATCAAAGTTGACTAGGAAACAAGAGACCGGAAGAGAGTTCCATATGTGGGAAGTGCAATAGAAGAAACAGTTAGCATAGAACTTGCGGTTATATCTAGCCATTTCTACTATAAAAAGATGAAACCTTGCCGCCAATAAATTAATAAGTTTAAAGTCATAATGGATTGCATAGGAAATAAGATAAATTGTGGGATATAAAATTAAAGATTGACGAATTGTTTTGTTCAGTCCTTATGACTCTTGCAGAAAAAATGATCTCTGAGGAAGACATGGTTGACATAAAACTTTTATTGAAATAATTGCAGAAATCATGGAAAATGCTGAAGTACTGAAGGGCACTTGATCTCTAACTACAACCGATGTACTTTGTTGTTCTATGTTGCCAACTTAACGCTCATAGAAATTTAAAAGGATTTGATCGTTATTGTAAGCAAATAAACTAGTAAAAAATAAATAAGAACAGTAGTTCATCTATGAAATTCAACCTGCTCTTGACTTCAGTCAGTTATGTGCAATGCGTGATACACGCTTAGGCGATCATGTATCTTTCGATACATGACTGCCGAGGCAGATTTTTTTTGGCATTAGGTAGACCAGTTGCCATCAAAGCCTATAGAATCTGGCCTGTCCTGCTATTTACCCATAGCTAGTTGAAGCGGAGAAGAAGAGGATTCATACCTTTGCCAAGGTTTATTAGCACGTGAATTTGACTGGAATTTGAACTCGGCTCTCCGATTCCTCAATCTGAGCCGCTATCCATTACTCCACCGTAATGTGGCATGTGAGTATAACGCAAGAGTTATAACTGGTATTTGGACGGTGAGCAGAGTTCAAATACCGCCTCTCCTTTAAGAAAGGCATGATACTTTTTCCTCACCTACGCCCCGGCTATTAAATAACCGGATATACTGTACTTCGCCTTGGATGACATCCTGTCTTTTAGAAGGACTAATACGAATTCAAAACCGTGGAGAAGGTAACATGAAACAACTCCCCAATGTTTCCCTAGAAGTGACGGTAATTCACATATATTGAACGAAAGGAGAGCCATGATCAGAAAGCACATTGATTAGCAAAATTATTTTTGAATATTTCAATTAAGTATATGTATTTATGTGTTTCTTTGCATAAACAGGATATTCTTCAGCTGTGCCGAAAACATCTAAACCTAATTCACTTCCCAAAATATGACCAAAAGAATAAACATCAGAATTTTGTTTGAAAAGTTTTGTACAGTGGTCCATATTCTTTTCAGCAAACCTTCATGTAAAATCTATTAATGATCTTATTGTATAAAACTCTATATTCGTCTGATTTCTATCTGAGTATAGTAAATAAGGGCAAAGATCATGTTCCACCAAACTGTTAAATGTGGTAGGCTCATTTAACTTGAAAATTAGTATTTAAACCAATTTTTCGCTTATTAGATTATTTCGTTTCAAAGGAAATAATATTAATATCATGTCGTTTTCTACCATGCAAATTAGTAAAAGCATACCGATAAGGAAAAAGATTTACTATGACGAAAATTCGACACACATTTCTCCTTAATTAAAATCTTTCAACGAAAGTTTCCCTCATCTAAATTTCAAGTTTCGAAATTGTTTCAAATTTGCTTTCTGTATGTCGAAACGATATTTATCATATGTTTATTACATATCGAAGACGAAAACAATATACGCTCCCAAATCCAACGATACATTGCCTGAAATCGAAGCTTTTTTTTTTTTCAATTTCTTGAGCACGTTTGCTATTAAAATACGCACATACATGCACACTATAAATATGTCTGGAATAAATTTTTTATCAGATTATATACGTATCTCTGACAAGGAACCCTATTCAACTTACGTTTAGGAATGTTTGTTTTGTTAACCTGAACATTGTTCTTCACCCTAGTAATTGGTGAGACAGACCTTTGGAAATATGAAAAAGTTCAAGAATATCAAAACATAGAAGCTGGTTTCAATAAATTTGTGCTAAGCTTTCCAAAACCGACTTTCCTCATGTTACAAGGACGTTTCAGATTTGATTAACATCACAATCATAGGGAAGAGATATTATTCAGAACTATCAAATTTTACATGTTTATTACACCACGTCTTGCGTCAAATGTTTTTTTTTTAAAAAGTCTGTAAGAAAATGACTATGATGTTTCTCATGGCCAGCACGGGGATCGAACCCACGACAATCGCGTTATTAGCGCGACGCTCTAACCAACTGTGCTAACCGGACACACGAGTAATCGCGTTTTATATATAATAAAGGGCAATTACTTTCCCTAAATTCAGATAAATTTCTGTCCAGATTATCTGGAATTGAAGAGAAATTTTTGAAATCTATGCTGAAATAACCCTTAGCAGCAACTTTGATTTCTAATTTTAATGTACCTATTTGAAAGATGGCATTTTCTAGTCGTTATATATTGAGTCGATTTTCCAATGGCATCACAAGATATTTTTTGAGGAAATCGTTAACCCAACTTATTTCTTACTTGAGATGATTCACTGCAACGTATTTTTCTGAAACAATACAAAAATACAAACGTTTTGATAATCAAACGCAAATATTATTTTGGCAATTAACCCCACGTCGTTTTAGAGGTCATTTTGATTGACAGACAGATCAAAGTTTTACCTATCATCATACATATGGATTTTTTTCAAATAAAGTAAAAACCTATTCTTGCTTTAGTCTTTTTTTTAAACTGCTTTTCATGAAAGTATGTCACAAAAACGTAATTGTGCAAACGTCGTATTTAGAAATCGTGACAAAAATAGACAGTGAGAATTCTTATATTGATAGTAAATATTCTGAAACAAAAAGAATAGGTTTTTGTTGGACAAAATCGAATATGGTACAAGGATACATTCTTAGAGCATCCGTTGATAAATGAACAAACAAGAAATTTCTATTAAATGAAATTTAAATTGTCTATTTTTCGTTATTTTTAAATACAAACATACGTGTTCGGTTGATGAAAGATTTTAAATTATATTTGACACAATCTGATATTCACAAAAATTCTTTGATTTATTATCATAATTTGTTTTTATTTTGAAATATTACATTTCATGTGGCACAAGGCCAGAAGGGGAAAGATTAGTCATCGCTAACTATCCTCCACCTAGTTAATCTGGTTCACGGCCCAGCCATCCATTACAATTTACTCATACACCACAAGAACTTATTTATCGTCATTCAATCCAACACATAGCATAATACCGCATATTCACAGGGATCCTATTAAAACACTGTCGGGTTACCTTCTCCTAATGTTTGGAAACTGCTAGTAGGGGACGCTCTCCGGACTATAAATACTCTGCGATAATTCTTCGTAACATCTTCTTAATTTTTCCGCTTACACCGCTCATCATGTAAATCTTTCGCGGAGAACGCGTTCACTTTCAAAAAGGATGAACAATACACACACAGGTAAGTACACACATTCACTTACTACATATACTTTGGACCAAAAAGATTTTCACATTCTTTTGTTACACAGATTATTGTCTTTGTCGCTTGTATATCTTTGTTGTTAATACATTATCATTTGTTTGTACATATATATTGGTTCTTATTGTTTCTTTACATTTCTTTACGTGGATTCACATGCCGGGTCCACCATATTTGTAGTGGGTATTTCAGGAGACAACATTTTATTTCCAATTTCAAACACCGACGTTACTAACATACAAAACAAGTTGGGAAACGCGTAAACAACCAGCAACAACACTAATGACATGAAAATATATACTATTGTTTTATTATCAATGCATTTGCTTTAATATCATAATTTGTTATTACGTTGTTAACTATCATTCTGGTTGGTTTGATTTGGTTGATTTTGTGTAGTGGCATATCAACACATCTATGAGCAACTTAATGCCGAAATCGAAATATTTTTGTCAATATTTTATTTTATTTTTGGACATAAGAAGGCTTTAGCAATAAAAGTCTTATTAATTAACCCATCGCTGGGGAGAGAAGAGATGGATTCATACCCTTTCCCAGGGGTATTTGCTTATAAGTGAATATAATTAACCCAACAGTGAATTGGAACTCTGCTCTCTGATTAACAATTCCGAGTCATTATCCATTACACCATCCACACATCCAGGCTTACAGCACCTAGTTTTCCCAAGCGGTCACCCATCTAGATACTGACCAAGCACGACGTTGCTTAACTCGGTAATCGTACGGGAAATGGGGTTTCAACATGATGTGACCGTAAGCTGATCATTCTAGAAACCTTTAAATCAATACCATAAATATTATAAGAAAGGATGATTTAATATATACACAAATTGTGCATTTGTGCGTGATTTATATAAAAAGGCAAATTACATAGATTATGTGCAAATGTTTTCAGAGAAGGTTTTATTCTTTTTTAATAAAAATTCTTTTTCCAAATACGTATTCAGTTTTTTGTTTACAAAAAGAGGCTGATGATAATTTTATACACTCTAATCTAAATATATACATCTATACATAAAGTACATAATATACATATATACATATATACATATATATATAAAAAAACTATGAATAAAGGTAAAAGACGACAGGAAAACTGTATTATATGTATATTATGCATATATACACATATATACATAATATACATATATAGATATGTATAAATGAAATACATATATATATATATATAATACATAACACACACACACACACACATATATATATATATATATATATATATATATATATATATATATATATATATATATTATTTTTTTGTTGGAGTTCCTTCGAAGATCTCTATTCATTATCAAGAACGAAAATATTATCAGTGCTATAGAAACATGTTTTTATTACCTTCATCCTGACATTTTCGGAGCGCTTTATTTATAATTTAAATCTACGTGTATTGGATAAAAGTGACGTCATCTTTTAATTAGTCTGCTAGAGATGAAAAATTTGACAGCGCCTGTGAACGAAGATATTAATTATTTTGAACATATTTACAAAATGCTGTCTTTTGTGGTGAAAGATATGTTTGCTTCATATTGGCTGTTTATTTTACAGTGTATGCTGTCTATTATTTCAAGTTGTGGTATATGTAGTATGAAATGGTGAGGGATGTCTTTTTGTGGTGAATGAGCAAATTGTAATGCTGAATAAGTTGTTAATAAGATTAGCTATTTCTAAGATAGAAAGTGTCGACAATCCTTTCCTTATTTCCCCTCAGACCTTGTGCCACAATTGTTTTAGTTAAAACAATAAATATATATTTCAAGTTAACGAGTAATATTTATTTCATGTTAATAATGATATTTCTTTTTGAGATGTGTTAATCAATATCGAATTGAAGTAAGCTTCCTTAAACGATGAGGTAACCGACGTGTGTAACGTTTATGTAACCAATATTCATATATTTCATTTCTTTATTATTGGTGTTGGAGATACAATCTCTGAAAAGACATGAGAATTCATAAACAACATTGTTTATATATAGCAATTTTTTTCATTTGTCTTTATAAGTATGGTGCATCTGTTTATTAGAGAATGAATTGATGGTATTTTCTTTTCTTCATATGATTTTTCTTTATACTATTTTTCTACAATGAAATAATGTTAATTTTATTTACTCGCAGACTATGAATGAAATCATTCTTGGTAGGTATTTTTGTCACTCATTTATTTATAATAAATTCCCATTTATTGTTGATGACAGCACTTTTTTCTCTTGAATGAAACGAAGATAGTAGAGAGAGATGAACAGTGGAAGAAAGGACGACTGAAAGAATCTCTAGACAAGACTTACGAGTATTAAACGATACAGGATATTCCGAACAATGGGACAATCGACCACCTTCAATTGATTGAATAAAGGGTTCTTTCGAAATTCCGAATACGACAAACATCAAAAGAAAGCAGAATAGTAATTAGTGGGGAAACCAAAGTGAGAATTCTTCTCCAAATCGAAAGGCATATAATACTCATAATTTCGCTTTCAAAAAATTCAAACACAAATTGTTTGAATGTACTCTTGTTGCATGGGTAGAAGTTATCTCTCTCTCTCTCTCTCTCTCTTAGAATTTGTCAATCTATTACAGAATATATATATATATATATATATATATATATATATATATATATATAAAGACAACGCCACTATGAAGCAATCGGATAAGGTTATCATCAATTATAATAAAACGAGCAACCATTGCTAGATCACAAAGCCATTAATAGGGAGGTCAATAAAGACTTACAAAAAAGCGCCCCAAACTGGGAATTTTCTATCAATAGTGAGAAGAAAAAGACAGCAAAAGAACTAAAAATCGACGATAGAGTCTATAAATTGCATAAGCAGCAGGCATTCATTACGACGAAAGACCACATAGATGACATCCAATACCTGCTAATCAACCTATTCAAGAATAATATCGGTAGGATAAAGGAAGGGAATACCCGAAAGAGCCCGCAAATACATCAGAAATGTTTTAGGAATCAACCAGTGGCATAATAAGGATGACTCCATTGATTTGTTCACTAAAATAAATAACAAAAGCGAATGCTTATTTCTCCAATTCGATATTTGCAACATCTACACATCCATCACCGAGAAGTTGCTAACGGATTCGATAAACATGGCCAACATTTATTGCCCCATAAGCAAACAGGACATTAATATCATCAAACAGGCTCAGAAACCCCCATCCTCTTCTATGAAGTTTCACTCTGAACCAACCGTAGCAATCCTGACTTTAGTACCTGCCATGAGTGCGTTTGATTCAGAGGAAACTTGTGAACTAGTTGGTATTACTTTGGCGTTGAATGTCTATCTTCGATATTAACTACACCGGCACTATAGGGATGACGGGATTATACGCCTACGCAAATCAAGCGAACAAAAAACTGACTAAAAAAACCTAATTAAATTAAATTTATAATTCTTTTTTCAATCTTATTTTCAATCTTAAATGTTAAACTGGTCCTAACTTCAAATCCAAAATTAAACTACAATTCATTTAAACACTTAACAACAATAATAATTCACCCTAATAATAAAATATCTCGCGATAACCAGAAATATTAAACAAGTGGTGTGAACCCAAAATTGGCACCTAAAAAATACAGACGGCAGGAAACTCCAAGTTGTGCAATAAATGTAGGTATTATGTATATTTTAATATATTAAATAGCTCTGTTATTTAACATTGAGCACTGTTTTATCACTATAGGATAACCATCTGATTATATATATATATATATATATATATATATATATATATATATATATATATATATATATATATATATGGACATTGAAGTCAACACCTGACGATTGTGTTTAGCATGAAACTGACTATCACCCTGGGTACCGACTTGTATGTCCACTTTTATATTTACATTCGCTCTATCCCTTATATTGAGCATTTAATCTATAAATGCAGCCTAAATTAAAACTATATTTTATCACACACACACACACACACACACACATATATATATATATATATATATATATATATATATATATATATATATATAAAGAGAGAGAGAGAGAGAAAGAGTAAGATAGAGAGAGACAGAGAGAAATACAAGGAAACGTCAATAGTTTTAAATATGAACACACACACGCGCGCACACTCACACACACACATATATGTATATAATGGAAAAATAGTATACAACGCCTTTATTATTTTACGCATTTTTTATCGAATAATAATTAAAATATTATTCGATGATATTCATTTATTATTATTTCATTTATTACATTTGTTACTACCATGAAATGAATAGAAGTGACCAAGGTAAGTTCAGATTAATTCAGGATAGCTGTCTGTTGTACACTATATATTGTGACGAATTTTATCTTTCAACAAAATTCAAATATATGCCAACAAATGCAGTTCACTTAAACGAAAAAAAAGGGATTTTCTACTCAGTTAAGGAGTAATACCAACACAGAAAATGTACCAAAAACAAATACGCGATATAAAGTTATAATTATTTTAATATTTAAAGGTATAGAATGAAAGACGAAGGAAAGAACAAATAAAGAATAAGAGAAAAGAAAGAAAATATAAGGATTATTATTAGAAGAATGTTCAATAGCCACTTTTGGCATCAATGATTTTGCTGATTAATGGCTATTATTATTTTACTGATTCTTATTTCTTCTTTTTTTCGAGTCGAAAGTTCATAGTAGAAGGATCTTGAAATATTTCCCTTCACATGTAGAATTGCTTTGGTTAATCAGTGAAGCTTTTTTGGTTTATCAACCTGAAAGCACTTTGCATTTCATTTACAGAAGATATAGAATCCTGTCTTTTGAATTCCTGATAATTCCAGAAGTTTCTTTATTCTTTTTACTTTCCGTCTCTAGAATATCAAAAGTTAATTTTACGTGGTAGCTAAACCACGGAGAAAGAATAAACGTTTTTTTTTACGTCTTCTCGATACAACAACCGCAATCTTTCTGATCAGTTAGTATAGGGACGTTCCTTACCGTTGAACGTCACAAATAAAATTAAAATCGTCAACCGTTGGCCAATTTAAAAGCGGTCAAGGCCGTATTTTTAAGAAATAGAATAATGAATAAAAAATAAATTATCAAATTTTTAGGATGGGGACTTATATTAAATATCAATACTTCAAATGATTGATTTAATTCAACTTAATTATATTTAATATAAATAACGAAGATCATGTCACAATATATATATATATATATATATATATATATATATATATATATATATATATATATATATATATATTTGGGTGGATTGACGTGAGTTTGTGATTTATATTTTATACACACACTTTTCACACACACACACACACTGGAATTCTCTGAGGTTTTCATAACACTACTGGACTCTACTTTGGCCAATAAGAATGTATAATTACTCTCCAGAAGAAACATGTTGAAATTGATTATAAATGAAAATGACATGTTTATCATTAGTTAATCATAGCTAAGGATCCGAAGCTCGCGAAGGATTGAAATAAAAGTTTAAATATATATATATATATATATATATATATATATATATATATATATATATATATTCCAAGATCATTTTCCAACTTATTCAAGATGATCTTCACCCTCTCTGACCTTCTAACTTTCTTTCCTGGAGTATTGTTGCCTCTCATGTTTCACGTACGATTTCATTTTCAATACCTTTTTCACTGTTCTTTGGGCTGTCATAGCCGGAACTCCTCTCTCAAATGCCAAACGTCTTATGAAATGTGTTGGCT